GTTTGATTTGCATTGTAGATGTTGCCTTTTCTAGGCTACTGTTAAGCATCACTTTTGAGTAAAATTTTCCTAGATTTACACCCCTATAAATGAGAAAAATCAGGCCTGTTTTCTTTGGCTGGTTTAAATCCCACCCAGTGATTCTCTGTATCTATTTGCAAGATCATCTGCAGCAGTATTTACTGTCTTCCACTGTTTAAACATGAATGAAAAATGTAAATATGCAGAGCACCTGATTCTGCTGAGACATGACTTTATAACTCATTGAGGCAAACTGGGCTAAATGTGTCTGGTTTGTAAACAAAAATCCAAGTGACAATAGACTGCCTCCATTGAAGGGTTTAGATTGTCTACACTCCTTAACAGATGGATCTCAAGGGTGAAGATCCAGAAAAATTTACTAAGGAAGGGGCATGCAAAGTACATCTGTACATTTTTATTACAGAGGGTGGGCTCAAGGTAGCATTCCTTGCATTTTGAATGGACATCAGTGAAGTTTGTTACACCTTTTTGCTCACAATGAAGTTCTTTTATGCCTAGGCCCTGGAAATGCTTCAACTTTTGTCAGATAAGGTTTATTCTTATAACAGAAACTTCAATATACCTAAATAACAGAAACATTGGCCACAATCTTCATCTACAGCTTTGATTCGGTCTTTCTCATAAACTGGATTCTTGCCACAGACTTTTCAAAAGAAGGATGGAGCTCTTGAGCATGGTTCTACTCAAATGCAGTACAGATATCTGTAGAGGTTTTATGTGTCTTCTCTGACTCTTGTTTCTGATGAGGTGTGCTGCAATGTTGGGTTCAAACAGGAGTTTTTCTGTGACAAGTGGCTTTGTGGCCAGGTACGTTTCATTGCTTTAGTCCAATCAAACAAGTGGAGAAGGTATAACGCAGATTAAGTCACTGTTCTTTGTGGCTGGATAAGATAACATAGTGGGAACTAGTAAAAAGTCTTACATCAGAACAAACATAGAATAAATGACAAGCCAGTAATTCACACCTAACAGAACTCAAAGACTGATCTTCTGTGAAAAAATCATAATAATTCATGGACAATGATTCACTGCATCGTAGTAAAAGACTGGTTATTTCTTTATTTCCAGAAGTAAAATTACTGTATTTTATTTTTATTTGGAAAGGGAGAGAGAAAATGGTCTTTCAGGTAAGTTGACATCATTCCTAAGATGAAAGGTAAGGAAGAAAGCTTAGGAAGAAAAAATCAAGCCTGACAAACTTATTCTCCAGATTTTCCTGCCTTGCTCTTCAGGCCTCGCTTTTTTCAGTCTTCATGTTTTGAAAGGCAAGGCCTGATTTTTTTTTTTTTTAAAGTTGCACTGAAAGAAGCAGAATGCGTATCCACTTGTGTGTCTTTCTTACAAACATTTTTTATCAATTAAAAAGTTCCAGATGCGAATTTCCTTTTTTTGATGTAAGAAAGACTGCAGCCAGCTAAGCTCTCTGATGTGTTTTTGTACCGTGTTTCAGCCCTGAACTTTCAAATGTTTTTTTTTTTTGTCTTGAGCAATAGCTGTGTTTAGGACAGCAAGGTTTTTGAGAAAGACCAATGTAGTTTCAAAGACTGCATAGCTGGTAGAAAGGTTTCACTGGCCACACTTTCAATACAGAGTCCTCTTGCTGACTTTGTAGCTACTGAGTAGATCAAGTGATCTGTTAAAGGAAGTACAAATTTCCTTGTGCCTGTAAACACAGTTAACATTGCACAAAAATGGCAGACTTTGCTCTGGAACACTGTTATTTTTCTCTTTTATTTCACACACAGATTAAAGGACATAGAATTTCACTTTGTAGAAAAACATATTACCATGATAGTTTTCTTTATGAGTTACTATAGCTACATTAAGATGGTGCTGTATTTGATTCTTGCTAGTCAGAAGCTCAACAATTCTTAACAGGTCTTTCCATCACTGGAGATGCTAACTGAGATGAACAGTAATTAGCCTTATTATTCAAATGAGTGACTTGAAATACCTGAAAAAGGCTGAATTAATTTGTGTCATCTAAATAAGTGATGTTGCCCATCATTAACATTAAATGTACTAATCAGATAGATGACCTCCAGGAAAATTTTTCTTTCTTTTACTAATCAATGAATGTTAAAAACACCTGAGTGATAGTTATGAAAGCTTTAGTGAAGATCATTGCACAAAAAAAGTGATTAAAGATTAGTAATGGCCTCTTCTCAAATTAATTGGTGGTAGGTTTAGTTTTACTGAGAAATAACTTAAAAGCACAATAAAAGATGGAAATCATCCTTCAGGTTCATCTGTTTTGTTTTACCCTGTAGGAATGGCTGCCAGGTAATGATTGATTCTGATTAAAGTGTTTGTCTGGGCCAGTCCTGCCATCATGGGTTAAGATTGCTTCGATTTGTAGTGTGCCGCAAAGTTAGCGGAGCCAGAAACATATCCTGCTACCAGCTTAATGATTTCCCAAGCGTGCCCTTTTGCTTCCAGCACAGTTCTTTTTTCCGTAGTGTAGCAACAGAGGGCTAGATGGCTGACACACAATTTCTCATGATATAGGTTCCATAACAGCAGGAGTTCACTTCTACTTTTTGTAGGATGATTAAATGGGCCAGATCATGTCTTCTTGGTTCAGCAAGTCAGCCATACAACTCTTCTCTGTCAGTCCTACTGTCTCTTCTGTAGCTAGAATCTGAGGCATGCTTTTGGTTGCCAACACATATGTCAGGCCATGTCTGTGGTATTAAATAAAAGAAAGGGTGGAAGATGCCCCTGGGTAGTGAACCACTGACATTCTGTACTGTTTAACTGGGATGTGTCTGGGATGGTTTGGCCTGTGCGGAGTAGCACTTTGTGAGACCTTGCATACTTGTAGTTAACTGCTGACACCTTTCTCAAAACTGTATGTTCAAGTTTCATTGATTTTGTTTCCCCCCACTCTACACTGTCTTTCAACAACATTCTCACAACTTCAAGTAACTTCAAGTTTGCTGTGCTAAATTTAACAGCATAGACAGAAACTTAGATCTCTCTAAAAGACAGGAAAATACTTAGATCACCTTTAAAAAATAATTACCAGACAAATAGGAATGGTATAGCAATAACCAAGCTAGCTCTGAATGAGCTACTATGGATATTAGCAGCTGTCTGGTGGCAGGAGCATGACATTCTGGCTTCTAGCCTAGTCATTAAGCCAATGCAATTACTGTGCTTCTGGTACATACTCTCACGCACCAAGACCTAACCTGCATAACTTCGCTCAGCATTGCATTGGGCAATACCTTTGATTCCAAAGAGGATTCTAAAAATACTGTTTCAACTATCCTCATCTTTAGAAGTCTTTAAACTCCCACTCTGCCCCTAAACTTCACAGCTCTCATGCATCTGAAGTTGTGCTTCTGCATATGCCTAGAAATGCAACAGTTTTGACTTCACCGAGTAACTCAGTGCTATTTCATGCTTAATCCCAGCTTGCTTCAAAACAGTAAAAAAAAAAAAAAAAAATTATAAAAACCAATGAACAATTCAAAAATGGTATGTGTTTAGAGAACATACTTACTGTGATACAGCATGCATGTACCAGTATTTTCTATCACTGAATGTTTCAAGAACTACTTCCAGTTCATAAAGGAAGGAGTCTTAGATGAGTTGGATGTCATCCAGACTACAGGAAGCTATGGCTTAGTATCCTCCTCTGCTTACAGGGTTTCAAAAATGTTGCTCCACTATTGCTAAGAAGTGCACCTTATCCTCTAAATTCAACAGTCTTTTCCAGGGTAAGGATGCTTGCTAAGACCCTGAGAAAGCTCTGCCATATTGCAGAGATCGAAAAGCATAAAGCTGCAACAAAATGTACTGCATCCTGGTGGTGGTGGTGCTTGGTTGTGTGTGGAGGGACATGCTTCTGGTCTTTGCACACCGCTAGTATTTAAGCAATGATGAGATAAAGTGTACCAACAGTGGGGTAAGTGGGAACTGGCATCAGGTCCTTACAGGGAGGGCCCTGACCTCTAGCTACAGCTAAGCGTTCCTTTGTTCTCTTTATCCTACTGCATCTGGAACTGCCTGGTGATGTGGAGGGCTGAAGACTAGTCTGCCCAAAACAGTGAATCTCCCGCTGTCCCTTCACAAATACCTCTAAAATGCCTGAAATCTGGTGAAGCAGGTGAATGGATCTGAGGGTCCGATATTTCCTCTGCTTCTGTGCTTTGCCTCTTTCAGAACTTTAGTGGGCCTCAGGTTATGTGTGACCCTGTAATCAGCATTTCTATAGGCAAATCGTGGTCAGGTTCATCCTCCTTCACCTTCTTCCCAGACATGTTGATTCACATGGTTTCTCACTGGCCACCTCATCATAATCCTTCCGAGATGTCCATGTTTCCCCAGGCATAGGTTATGAGCTTGTTGATGACCCATTCTGCACAGGACTTGTCTCTCTGTAGCCGTCTAGAAGTAGCCATGTAGAAGTTAGGTGGTTAATCTAAACTATTAGTCTGAGCATTCTTGATTGCGAACAGAGAAAGAGGAAATGGTTACAAGGGCAGTTTTTCCAAGATGTCTTGAATCTCTCTTGCATCTTTCTCTCTATTAAGAAGGAGCTTAGAATAGATAACAATGCTCAGATGGGTACGCTTTGGTGAGATGACTAACAGCTTGTCTTTTAGAAAGACTTCCCAAATACAACAACTGGTTCCTCAAATTAAAACAGACTACAAATCAACATCATTACCTTTAAAATTAAGCAAGTAATTTTAAAGATAATGTAAGACAGTAAGTAAGTAAGGTAAGGCATTTGTTCCACTGATTTTAATGGAATTAGGGGTTTATATGTCATTTATGTAGAAAACCATGGTAGAACGAATGGTAATACTTTTGATATCATGCTCACGTCAGACTGTTTCATAAGAAACATTGTTTATTCTTCAGTGTTGCAATGGTGAATGGCTGAAAATATATAAGTTTAGAGCAATCAGTATAATGATGAATTTATCTGTTTGTTTCTCAATCAGCTAGGATTTATACATACATGTTGGAGAAGTCTCGTGTCATTATGCAGCCTCTCAACCAGAGTAATTTTCATGTTTTTTACTTGATGATGGATGGGCTGTCTGCCGAAGAAAAATACACCCTGTACCTCAGTAATTTGTCTGCACACAGGTAGGAAAAAACTTCATATTTAGTATTAATATTTGTCTTACTTTAGTGCTTCTTTGCTGTTGGGGTCATTCCTCCAATAGTTAACATTTGTGTGGTAACTTTTCAATGAGCTCTGAAATTTATTATCGAGTCCATGTTCATGAGGATTTAATTCTGGAGTACAGGTACACCCGCTTAATAAGATCAGAGTCTTAGTCATATCCGTTAGGATTATTGCCTTAAAGGAGAAAAAGGAAGGAAACTTCTTAGTTATTTTTCCTTCTTCTGTGGACTAGAGTAGGTCTTCCCCTGCCCCTCCAGCCCTCCGATGAAACTTTTTGTCTTCAGGAAAGACTGTTTTATTAAAATTAGACTTTTCTTATGGAATATGTTGATTTTTATGAAATTTCACCATCTGTAACTGATATTTCCATTTTCATTTTGACATTTACTTACTTCATATTTATTAAGAAAAACAGAAACAAAGTTCTGACTACTTTGAAACCAAGGATAGAATTCAACACCTGGCACCTAAAATTTGATCTTTATGTGTGTCTCCACATGAGCTGATTGTCTTGGCTCCCATTCGCAATCAAAGGAGATGGAGTCTCTGCTCAGCTCTGTGTAGAGTTACATGTAGATGTGTGCTTTGGGGTGAACTGAACCACATGTGTACTTACCCTTTAATAGTAAGAGCTTAAATATAAAGAGCTGTATACAGACACCTATAGTGTGTCTAAGGCTGAATACACTCCAAATGTTTAATGTAAGTGGAAGTTTTGTGTTTTTCAGGAAATTTTGAGTATATCTCAACATTTATTAATTCAAATTCTTTGGAATGAAAACATAGTCCTGATTTAGATAATTTGCCTTTCTTTCTTCAGTCTTTACTAGGTGATTCCTAAGAAATGTCACTGAAATGAGAGAAGCCTATTTGGCATTAATGATCTTATCTTAAATTGATTAAGTTTATAATACTTATGGTGACTAACTATAAAAGACCAATAGTAATTAAAATTATGTAAAATGAATATTTTGAGTTTTTCGTATCTAAGCCTTTTTCCCATGGATTTGTCTCTCAACTTTTCTGTCTTCCACTCTGGCTAGTACTTGAATAAAATAGTTTTCCTAGGTTTGGGGCCTGTAAGTAGAAAGACACCACATTAATTTTTTCCAAAAAAACTTACTTGATTCTGATTTTTTCCTAAACACAAGTCTTGAGACTATTGTTGTTTGGTAATGTTTTAAGCTTTTAGCACTTCTGGTAGTGTACAGGATAATGTAATGCACTAGCTCTGAAGAAACATGAGGCTAAGTTGCTTTACTAAAAATGACCCACTTCAAAGGGGGGGGGAAGAGTTAAATTCTGTGGTTTAAATCCTTTGAAGGCTTTGAAGACCAAAAGGATTCTGAGCTCCCAATCATTAATTTATTCCTCTTCTTGCAAAAGTTGTTTGGAATCACTCATTTTATTCAGAAAATGAAACAGTTTGAAGTCACTTTGCAAGAAGCTCCAACAGGAAAGAACTTAGCAAAAACCTGAATAATTAAATTCACATGAACAAAGCTTTATCTGATAAGATATCTGATAAGCATCCAAAAAGAACAAAACAGTATTTTAAAATAGTTGTCTGAACATTGCAGTGCCAACTCTTTAGAAGTAATTTATAGCTGAATATTTGCATAAAGCTGCTTTTATCAATAAAGCTTTGCTTTGGCTACATAGAGTAGATTTTATCTTACATTATTGAGAGAGAGCTTGGGCCAAATATTTCTTACCTTAAACTCCTGCGTGTAAGTAGTTAGTGGGGCAGATCTTTCTTGGTTGATAGACTTAAACTAGGGGTGAATTTCTATAGCATTGAACTCATACATGAATCAGAAAGCAGGATTTGGCCTCTGTTATAAATTCATGATTTCTGACAGTCAAATTTTAATGAGATCATATCATTCTGGTAACATCAATAAGTGAATTTGTCATGTTTGCTTTGAGCAAGTGTAATCTTGACTCTAATAGCAAATTTAATTAGATAACAGCTCTTTTGAAACTATAGGTGGCTCATGCCCAACTATTTTTTGATAATTTTTCTGTTCTTCTTTGCATTGTTTAATATTGCACCTTTATGTAGAAGGTTGAACAATCTTAGTAAATAATGGCTGTTAAGATGGCAAGATACCCTTGTTGTCTTCATTGTTTGCTTAAGACATTGCAATATGAGAAATGAGACATAGCATGGTTTTTTTATTCTCATTTTAAATAAAAGTACCTTAAAGAGTCAAAGTAGTATTGTCAATCGTGGTTATTGTTAGGCTTGATGTTGTAAAAGGTGAGAGCTGGTTCATGCGTTAAGCGGTATATAATCCTGGATTAAGAGTTAATGTAAATAACTAAAAGGGGAAACCCCTCCCCTTTGGAGTCACTGAGAGTTTCAGTAAGGCTGGGGTTTCACCCCAATGTGTAAAGGGAGTTGTTAGGTTGTAATTCTGTGGTGTTTGATGCTGTCCTGAGAGGGAGCTTGAGCTCAGAAACTTGAATGTATGTTCTTGCAAGCATTATGACTGCTAGGGCAGCGTATGAAGACAAATAGCTGGCCACTTTCTATTGAACCTATATACAGCTAGGATCTTAAAGTAGCAAGCCATCCAAATTTATATAGAGAGGGATCTGAATGAATACATCTCCCATCATATCTGCATGTGGATCGTGATGGATAAAGACAGAAACAATTCCTGAAAGGTAAGATCATTTTTCAAGGTTTAGCAGGGGGAGCATATCAGAAGTGGAGAGAGAGTCTTGAAAAGGCAAGTCAAGGCTTTTTGATTGACAACAACTACTCCCATATGTTCATTACATTCAGAAGCTGATTTTTATCTGCAGATCCTTGACTGAAATTAAAAAAAAAAAAATTAATTTGCTGTTTTTCAAAAGAACTGCAAAACTTTGTTTATCTTGATGATGACATGTAATATAGAGAAATTAGAGATTTGAAATTATATTATCAATCTGCTCTTTATTTACTCTTGATTTTTTTTTTTGTTTTTGCTAGATGCAGATACAGTACATTACTGTAAGCTTTGCTTTTCTGGCATGTGATGTTTAGCTTCATAGTAGGAGTATGTATTAGCTTTTCTAGCACATTAAGTTTAGCCTCATAGTTACAGTAGGTACTACCTTAGTGATGAATCTTGCAACCAAAGGGTAACAGAAGGCAAAGAACAGAGGTGTTAATAGCAATAAATCAGCTTGTAAATGGTCTTCAATTCTGGTGAAGAAAGGGTACTAAAAGGAAACATTAGAAAGACCTTACAGAAAAGTAAAGTCAAGTCTTACAGAAAAAGGTGGAAAGACCTGCTTTTATTATTATAGGCCAATTGTTTTTATTAGCATTGATATTCCAAAGCTGTAGTATATATAACAATGTAAGAATGTCTTTATGTAATAGGTATATGTAAGGTACTCATAGTCATTAAAAATCATGTCATTACATTTGTATATGCATATTAGAAACATCACTTAAGGCTACGTAACTATAGAAAATGGTTTCAGAAACAGTGGTGGCTTTGGCAGCTGTTCAACTTGATGTCACTATTTTCAGTTTAAACAAGCTTGCTAGTTCTCCTAATTGATTGTACTGTTACAGCTTCTGGTAGCGTAGGCAAACTGATGCAACGCTCTCAGTATTGCAAGGTGATTCTGACAGACGTTTTTTAGTCCTCCCTTGTAATGTCAGATCTTTGTCACCCGACAATTATAGGTTGAAAAATACTGCTTGTAAATAAGCTGTATGTGTAAAACTAAACAACTTGAAGCTGGGGAAACTGTTAATATACACATTCATGCAGAAGCGGGGCTATGGTCAGGGAGTGCATTTTGTGTTTGTGTTTTCAGACCGGTATTCCCAGATGTGCAAAACTTTCCGTCCTCCCATGGAACAATGATGTGCACTGCAACGTGCACTCTCTCTGCCCGTGCTGTTTCCATACCCCTTAAAAAGCAGTGAAAGTCTTCTGCAACAGTTGCTGTAGATCAGTTCACAGAACTGTTTTACCTTCTTTTACAGGTTTTCAGCCCTCAGAACCTCTTTGCTCGATCGTTGAGGAAATAATTCCCAGCTCTGAGGGATAAGGTTGATCTTCAAAGGGGTTTAGAGATTATAGTGAGGGAAAGTAAATGGTATAGAAAAGATCTCAGTAGACATTTTTCAAATGCATTAAGTGCAAAGCCTTTTGTCTGATTTTTTGTCTGTTTACAGTCATCATCTTTTCTAACAAGAGCTAATACAATGCAATGTGTGCAAAATGTTGATTATTCTAGCATTGATCCCTACTCTTCCTTACCCTCATACAGAAGACCACAAGATGAGAATTTTCAAGACTGTGAGTGGCCACTTACTCCAAGTTTCCTCAATTCAACATACTTAGGAGGCAGCCTCTTTGTTTTCTAACTGCTATAGATATAAAGCCAGGAAGACATTGCATGTTTCCATGCCCTCTAACTTTCTTTTCTTTCCTTTTATCGTTGGATGTCATTTTTCCTTCCAATTGTTTGATTATTTTCTCATTTAAAATGCAACAGAAAGAAATTTCGATCTTGAAAATAACTTAGCAGTTTTCTATATCTGTGACATTTGTCTACAAATGTAGCTGTGGCAGTCTAATGATAAAGGGTAAATTCATAGAGAAAAATTGTTTTCTTCAGTCACACATAAGTGGAAAAATAGACATTTTAGGGATGTTCCAGTCCTCTGATGTTCCATGCTCTTTCCCCGTATTCAAGCCTGACTAATCACTTTTTTCCTCATAGATATTCACTTCTATTTAAACTTTCAGTAGAAACATAGAATAGTTTGGGTTGGAAAAGACCTTTAAAGGTCATCTAGTCCAACCCCCCTGCAGTGAGCAGGGACATCTTCAACTAGATCAGGTTGCTCAGAGCCCCGTCCAACCTGACCTGGAATGTTGCCAGGGATGGGGCATCTGCCACCTCTCTGGGCAACCTGTGCCAGTGCTTCACCAGCCTC